AACAATGACTTTCAGTAAATTATGGAAATAATGCTCATTTCATTGATGTAGATGTTTCTAAAATTCAGTTAGTAGTATGTCCGTGTAGCTGACAAAGTGATGAGATCATCATAGCGTAATCGTCGTAAATGATGAGGTAACAAGGTGATGAACCATTTAATAATACTCATTTCAAGTTGCCATCTGTCTAATCTAGCTATCAGCAAATCCCAACTCTTCTTCCATTCATGTGTATTTTATCAGCGTACTTACCAACGTTAGACTACATGTGACCATAGGATCGATGGTTTCAACGATTGTTAGCACTTTGATGCTAAAATTAGATGATCAATATTTGAGTGTGGGAGAGACATAAAGAATGAAATACAAGAGCCAGGTTATAGAAAGAATTACCAAAATTGAAATTATAAACTTCACATATTTTTTTCAGTATCAATAAATGTGAGTATTTATAGGTGGAAGAAGTTTATGCTTGATACATGACCCTATTATAAAGGCTCACCCATCAAGCTGGATTATGTCAAACGTGTTAATTTAGAGTTATCATAGGCATGCGGCCATTCTAACCTAAATATAGGTTGAAAAGTTGTATGATGAAATGGTATTTCTACAAAGTTATCACATCTATCAATCAAGTGTACTGTACAGTGTACTATTTGACTTGATTGAGGCGAGGTCGGTGGTAGAAGTTATTGTACAAGATGTCAATCATCTCAAAATCGTACTTCAGGAAAAAGGTGATGTTCGCTTTAGTTAATAACATGTTAGACAAGGCATCCAACGATATGACCTAATTGTCTCAGTCAGCATATGTAGAAGATGTGACATCGAAGCAAAGTGCTAATTTTACGTGATCGCTTGCTTATTTTTTGTTTAGCTGGTTGTCATGTGCTTGCTTCAAAAGTCGAGACATGACATCTAGCTTTGTAGGTCAAGACATAACAATAATCTCTTAAATCTCATTTTCTAAAGTGTATACGTAGTACTTCACATTAATATTATTAGCAAAATCATTAGATCGAATTCAGCCCCTGTTTGACAACTACTAATTTTGAAAAATAAAGGCAGGCCATGTTCTCTTTGCCTTTTTCTGTTTTTGATTTTTCAAAACAGTGAAAACGCGTTCTCTTTTCTATTTTCGAAAACGTGTTTTTGAAAAAAAAAATATATATATATTATATTGAAAATAGAAAATGGCTTTTTTAACGTTTTCTGTGCAAAACACTCCAAAATTAGAAAACACGGGAAACGGTAAAAAAAGCCCAAAATTGGAAAACACGGGAACGCTCAGAACCATCTCTTCCTCATCTCTTCTTCCAATCCCGTCTCTTCCCGTCTCTCTTCTCGACGTCGACGACCCACTGCAACCTATGACGAAGGAAATGCACCCTTGGGCCCATCTCTGCATTCTCTCTCTTCTACGTCGGCGACCCATTGAAGAGGCAAACACTAATTGATCAATTGAAGTTTTGAATGATTTATATTTATTTGATTCGCTAGGTATGGGGAAAATGCTTATATAGTTCCCGATTTATTTGATAATTGACAATTTATTCTTCACGAATATTCCTATTTGCACCTGCTGTTGTTCCCTAATATAATTCCCGATTTAGTTATGCAGCCACATTTAAGGAATGTAATAGAATATACGTTGGTAGTTAACAAGGATTCTGACGATGAAGTAGAACTAGAAGCCTTTGAATTCTGGTAATTTCACTTTTTTGCGCTTTCGTCTAGTGTTCAAATATCTTGGTAGCTGCCTTTTAAACTGGGTGAAAATCTGTGCTATTCTTTCATCTTTTCCCTTTTGAGCTGGCTATTGAATTACAAAATGCTATTGGTGTCAAAAGTGAAATTGATTCACTTGCTAAAATTGGATGAGTTTGATTACTACTCCTAGTTTGTTTTAGTGGGGTATAAATAATCTACTGTTTTTCTGTGCATATTAGCCACTGCAAATCAACATGTCTCGTGAGTATTGGTTATTTTTGTTTCATTTTCTGTAAAACATTTATAGATTTATGGTTGTGTAACATGAACATTAACTAACATACACTGATAATGTATTTGCACGGTTATGCAACTTGCCTATGAACATAATTTACCTCTAGAAATTTGAGTAAATCTTAAGTGTTTTGCATTCATGTAAAGTTTTACCTGAAGCTGAATTTGAGGGAATGTAGGCTTGGTAGTTTTCTTATTGTTATAGTATTACTTTGCTGTACTTAAGAGTGCGGTCAAAATCTTTAAATGTTTCATTGCTTCTGGAACCTTAAAGAAATGATACTTGGTTACAAGTTGATCCACTTTCTAGTGCTAGTTCTGGAATGTTTGTAAACTTGAGTGCCGTTACGCTTCATCTCTGTGAGCCATTCTTGGATGCAAATATGTCGAAAAAAGATAAAGTTGATCCTAAATATGTATTTGACAGTAATCGTTTGGAATTGAGGTGGGAGATTTCTCTTGGAACTATGTACATTTTATTTTTTTTGGCGATGTATTTATCTTAATGTGATATATTAATTCGTTCTAATGATAAACATGTATCAGAGGACTGATTGCTCTACATGCATCATCTGAAGAAATCTCTGACTAGGAAAGCTGATATCTCTACAAATAATAGTGATGGTGAAAATCGATTGCTAAAATCTCAGGAAGCTACCAGTTCAGGCAGTAAAGTAAATGAGGTTTCTCTCCTTCAAAGTAATAGACCAATGTCAAGTTGTAGCCAGAAGGCCAAATACTCGTTCATTTGTGAATGCTTCTTCATGACTGCCAAGGTGCTTAACTTGGGATTACTAAAAGCATTTGTATGACTTCAGGTATCTTTATATCTTATGTTGTAATGTATTAATTAATGTTTTTCAAATTTTAGCCTTGACATAATGTTGAGAAGTTCTGAGATTCTCATTTTTTATGGAGTTCTCTTTCTTTCTTTCTTGCTATGTGCCTCTTTTTTCCAGCCTCCAACAGAGATTGTTCCATGGGTGAAACAGGGAGATAATCCAACATTTGGGTTCTTGATGCCTGACAATCATCTTTATGCCAACTTCAGATATCTTGTTGACCATCCAGAACTTTTGAATTTTGACATTGATGGAAACTCTCAAAATGAGAGGGAAAAAGCTGGCAGTGAGCACAATGATCTCGACCGCCTTGGAGGTTGAGTGTTGTACTCATTATGCCCGCATGAGAAGGAAAATATTCATCTAAGGATTCAATAGTTGGAATAATAGATGTGGATCATGGTTGCTGATATTCAATGGGTCAAGGTAGATATCTAACATTGATTTACTTGTACAAAAAAATCAAATGTTGTATATTTATTCCTCTTTTAATTAGAACATTTGGCAATTTTTTTTGTTTATTCATGTAAAAATATTTTATAAATTTTGTTAATTCATTGAATTCATTGTAATGGTCATTACTTATTTGTAAAATACTCTGTTTTGCTTGGTATGTTACCATTTTATTAGTTTAAGTTGTACATAAGAGTGAAAAATGATTTCCATGTTGAAATTAAATAGTTTGAAAAATTTGTAATCTTTGTATGAAGAATGTGATGAAGATAATACATGCATTTTTTTTTTTTGTTCTAAACACAGAAATAAGACAAAGCATTTAGATCTTGAATTAGACGAAAGAATTTTAGCAATGTTACCTCATTAATTTTTTTCTTCAATCGATCAATACTAAATTATTAAAATTTATTGAATAATCAAATTTATTGAATAAAATATTATAAAAAAAATATTTTCAAAATTTCAAAATAAATGCGTTTTCAAATTTTTTATTTTGAGAAATAGTTTTTCATAATGACAAAGAGAACGCATTTTCAGCAATTCCAAAAAAGACACTCAAAGCAGAAAATACAAAATGAATTCAAAACTCAAAATACAAGACTGAAACACGAAGAGAACGGTCCCAAAGTTTTTGAATAGTATTGCTTAGGAGAATATATAGTTAAAAAATATGAAAAAAAATTTGTGTTTACGTACAAAATATTTTATTATTTTAACGTGTAATAGATTAATAAAGAAAAAAAAGTTCTAAATCAATGATTGCCACATTGTACATGAGTTTAGAGTAATTTAGTGAGAACGAGATTGTCAGGTTGGGTAGGCGTGACCAAAAGGTCCAAAAGAAAAATCTTCATTGGGAGTACAAGCACTAGGGACCGTGGGCCGCCGTCTATTCACACGCACAAAACATAAAAAGTCTAGTCATGGGACGACAAATTCTCCACCAAATTCATCACACTATTTTATCTTCTAGAAATCATGAAAAGCCTTTGACACAAGAAATGAGGATTAAAAATTGTAATTTTAAAGTTTTCGAGTAATTAAAAACATGTTATTGGAAAATGGTTACAAACCATCTAAACTATAAACAATAGAAAATATGTGATGGATAAATATATAGTATATACGAATTTCAAGAAATGCGTGGATAAAAAAAATGTTTATAAATTATGACCCAAACATAGGTTAAAATTTTAAGAAGACGACACTAAGGAAACATTGCAATGACATTCTGACATTGGCCATAAAGTAAGAAACTAGAGGTTGAGCTGAAGTCAAACCAGAATAAAAATTAATAAAATAAATTTAGAGGGTGGACTCGAAGGTTATGGAAGTGAATTATGGAAGTGAATTTTAACAGTTTTTTTTTTTTTGACAAGATTTTAATAATAAATCGACCAGTTTGAAGTATATAATATGAATCAAAAGTAACTTATATTTCTTTACATGAATTAGGAAAAATAATTAAAAGGTTTAGATTTTATGTATCTACTTTTACAATATATAAGAATACCACTTATGGCATGTTTGAAAGGCGAATTAAACAGTATTGAATGTATGAACAAAAAAAAAAGGAATGTAAAAGATTTTATGTTATTCTTGTCCAGCATTTATAACCCCGTCTCATTTTTTTCCCCAAAAAAATAAAATAAAAATGTAAGTATTAAATTCAAATGATTAATACTAGATTAATCATCACATATCCATGTATGAAAAGTAGCGTTTTAAAATGCGCTTCGCATATACTCGCATATGAGGTATGTGCGTAATAATACGGTTAATCCATTTCGTTGACCGTATATGCACATTTAAATGTTAAAATGTACACTCATTTGCATTAAAAATTATGTTAAAATTAATCTAACAAAACCTAACTCATTTTTATAACTTAAAAGGAAATTGAGCCTAACAAACATCAAATTAATTCAAATTACCCAAGTCCATGAATTATATACAACAAACTATAGGGTTTTGATGTTTAAAAAAAGAAAAATCGTAGAGTTGCAAACTAGTAATACCGAGTTCGAATCTCCTTCTTCAATCTTTCTCTAGTTTTACTAGCAAGTTATGCTAGTAATGAATAATTTTGGATTGTTGATGGTTGTAATAATGAGGAGGAGATTAATAATTATATCATATTATCTATAAGAGGTAATAGAAATTCTCGAATTAAAATATTGGAGCCCAATGAAGATGATTTTACATTGAATGACACGAAATGACTTGGATGAAAACGAATTTGAGTTGGAATCCGATAAAGAGTTAGACAATATTTCAAATTTTTTAATTCGACATTCGTGTCTAATCTAATTGTAGAAATTGATTACCAAATAATTGTAATATTTATGATTTTGAGAAATATTTTTTTTTTCAAAAATTTAAAGAGTATGTATACAGTTTAAAAAATGTATTATTTTATTTATTTATTAGTTAAAAGTATTTAAAATAATATTAAAAATTTTAAAAAATGCATAATTACGCATATGCATATATATTCTTGTAATGCTTAATACTTGAATGAAATGCATTACCACGCATTACGCATTTTAGAACCTTTATAAAAGAACAATAATAGTACTTATATTTTAAATTCAAGAAATTTCATTTGATCATGTATGACATAACTTTATTTCTCACTTGATGGACTCGTTGTGTCGTAGTGTTATGCATACCACTAGCTTAATTAAATCTTTGCATTAATATATGTCTCGTTTGACCTCCATTATTTATCATTATTTGAGATTATTATTTTTTGAATAATATTTTTTTGAAAAATGCATGATTAAAAAAGAAGAAATTATTTGAATTTACGTGTAATATTATTTTATTGAAAAATATACGATTGATAAGAAAAGTGAAAAAAAAAAATCATAATATGGAGCAAATGGGGTTATATATATCGAAAAAATTAGATGCCCGAAAAAAATTAAATTTTCTAGAAATAAAATAGATTGGCGTGCCAAGATTAAAATCCAAAAGGAAATAATTAGTGCTGAGACTAAGTACATATTCATAATCTATTTGGAGAAAAATAAGTGGTGGGACAGCATATCATCTTCAATTTCAGGACCCGTATCCTTTTTGGTTGGTGGGCCATTTAAATAAAGGTATTATCACGTTTGTACAACAATTAATATATTTAATTATATTAGATTAAAAAAAAAAATTCTCGACTTATAAATTTTATTTCACGCCTCTTTATTTTATCTAATTTTAAACTTTCATAGCTAACCTTTAAGAAAATAAAAAAATATATTTTTCATTTTTTAGTATAGGTCGTTAAGAATTTTATCTACTAAATATAAAAATGTGTACAGCAACAAACACACACGCACACAGATATATTTTTTAAAAAGTTTGATTAAAATTTTCTACCACAAAAATTATATAGACTAAATCTAGTCAAATTTTGGTCTTTAATTCCCCATAATTTCATTTTTATTGTATCAATTTTAGTTGATATCTTTTTGCCCTTTTTCCTTTTTAAATTATCAATTGTTTTAAAATTATAGTAGCAAATTAAATATTATAAAAATTCAAAGAAATATATTCCAAGAGGTCATTTCAACTTTACATTTTAGAATTTTTTTTAAAAATTTTGTGGTTTATATTTAACATAAATTAATGTATTAATATTTAAGATCCTAACAAACTAGGAACACTATGATTGCTCTTAAGGACTTTAGTTATGTCCAATGCTGTTTATAGGACAGCCATTATAATTGTAAAATGGACCTTTCTGTGTTGAATGCTCTAAGATTTGAGATTTTCTTTTTGTGTAAAATGACAATATTATTGATGCTTCACTTTAAAAGTTCTCGATTCAAGATGAATTCATGAGGAAGCAGTACATCTTGAGGATCCAATCCAATGTTTTGTACGACCTAAATTTGGATTTGGAGGGGAAGAAAAAAGTGAGATAGGGTTTTAAATATGATAAATGCAAGATATTAATTCATTTATCATTATTCACGCCCCTTAAACATGGACAAATCTACTAGAGATGTGAAAGGGTCATTGTATACAACCGTATTGTAGGTTCGTCTGCCTTTATAGATGGCTAGTGCTAAGTCTAGGTAGCCAGACCCACAACCCGACTAAGTTTTTATTTTTTTTTCTAACAAAATCAATATCTTACTAGAAAAATGAAATAAGAATTGGCCCGTGAGGAGACCACCTCAAAAGTCAAAAATTCACTTTACATACCTAGCCAAACAAATTTTAAGAGTTCATTTGGTAGGACTTCTACTTTTAATGGAAGATCTTCTATAGAAAATAATCTTATATCAGTTTCTTTTAAAAGTTGTTTAAACTAAGCAGTATTTCAAAAAAATTATCCAAACATGCTTGGAATCAAACAAATGGAACTAAATGATCAGTAAATAGATCACAGAATAAAAAGTATTGTAATGTCAAACAAGAAGAATAAATAAATTCAAAGTTATCAAGTCAAAAATGAAAAATAAAATGGAGAAAGGGACATAATAGCATACGTCATTTCTGTGGTGTGCAAAATTGGGCAACCACCAACCAATGCCAGCCTCCATCCAAGAAATGGCCACACATTTTTTTATGTTCTGAGAAAAAAAAATTGGAAAAAATTACACTTTTCAGTTTTCATTCTCGCCTAAAAAGTTCAACTTTACACACGCACTAAAAAAGGCTCCACTTTTTACAGAGAGAGGAAAAAGAGTTTAAAATTGAGTGAAAAAAAGATCTTTGATTTATATATTATCAAATTCATAATGCATATATTTTCAAGAAACAGAAGAACGAGCGAGAAAGATTTATAGTGGAAGCATGCTTTGTCGGCCATTTGAGTTTCAATAAAAGGAATTCTGACATATCCATTCAATTTGCTCAAGAGATTTTTTCACTGTTATTGCCCATTTGAAGCCTTTTGCTAATTTCGAAGAAGTCCAAGATTTCCCGTTGTTTTGTGACGTCCTTTTGCTTTCGAAACTATGATTTTCGAAAAATCTAAACGAAAACGATTTGATTCATTACACTTGATTTTCTGGGCCTCCTTGTATTTTAATAAGAATTGAGTCTTCTCTAGTTTTCATCTCAAATCCCGGTTGTAGAATTGAAGGTTCCACTATTTTTATTTAGTATTCCACGACTTTTTCTCTCTTATCATCCCAAGGGATCACTTGAATATTGATGAACATGTCTGTTCAGAAAATCTTCAACTTTTGGTGGACTAAAAGGTATGTTCAGGTTTTGATTCTTCATTTTTCATTTTCTTGATTTATGTATCAATCTCCTATATTTAGCCAATTTTTCCTTATGTGCAGCAGTATTCTGAATTGTGGGCTGCTTTGAAATGAATGATTCATCACTCTTGTATCAAATTCATTGGACCCATATCATGGTTATTTCTAGAATGTTTTTGAGTTGCTTTCATAATTCTAGAATTTGGAGAAATTGACAGTTTGTAGGCCCACTTTTGAATTCCAAAACCTTTTCATAGAATTTGGGAATTAGCATCTTTTGATGATGAATATTCAGTGATTTCAGTCTCAATCATTGTTTTGACAAAGTTAAGGTTCCTATAATGTCTACGGAGGTTGGATGGAGGAAGTGTCCATCTTTGGGTTTGGTAGGAATTTTAATAGGTTTGATCCTGGCTTGTCCTTCAGACGGGTTGAGTGCGGATGGAATTTACCTCTTAGAGTTGAAGAAAAACATTGTCGATGAATTTTACTTTCTTGGGAACTGGAATCCAAATGATGAGTCACCCTGTGGATGGGCAGGCGTGAATTGCACCTCGGGTTATACTCCGGTGGTATGGTCTCTGGACTTGAATTCAAGGAATCTATCAGGGACTTTGAGCCCTAGTATTGGGGGTCTGATCTTTCTAACTTATCTCAATGTTTCTCATAACAAGTTCACAGGAAGTATTCCCAAGGAAATTGGAAATTGTTCGAAACTGGAAACTCTTTACTTGAATGATAATTATTTTGGTGGCCAAATTCCAGCTGAATTGGGTAATCTTTCTTGTCTGGAAGATTTGAATCTGTGCAATAACGCGATCTCTGGCTCAATTCCCGAGGAAATTGGGAAACTTTCTTCCCTTGTTAATTTTGTGGCGTACACAAACAATCTTACGGGCCCATTGCCTCAGTCTCTTGGCAACTTAAGAAACTTGAGAACATTTCGAGCTGGTCAGAATGAAATCTCTGGAAGCTTACCAACAGGGATTGGTTATTGTCAAAGCCTGGAAACACTAGGTCTTGCTCAAAATAGAATAGAAGGTAATCTACCTAAAGAACTCGGTATGCTCAAGAGCTTAAGAGAAGTGATTCTATGGGAGAACCAGTTTTCTGGATTTATACCTAAGGAGCTTGGAAATTGTACGAATCTTGAGATGCTTGCTTTGTACCAGAACAATCTTGTTGGAGGGATTCCTGCCGAACTTGGGAACCTTAAGTCTATGCAAAGGTTATACCTATACCGGAATGGATTAAATGGAACAATTCCAACGGAGATTGGGAATCTTACTCAGGCACTTGAGATTGATTTCTCAGAGAACTATTTGTCAGGAGAAATTCCAACCGAGTTAAGTCAGATAAAGAGTCTACATTTACTGTACTTGTTCCAGAATGAGCTTACTGGGGTTATCCCAAATGAGCTTAGTAGCTTGAAGAACTTGATGAAGCTAGACTTGTCGATTAATCACCTGACAGGCCCAATTCCATTTGGCTTTCAGTATCTTACTGGGCTATATCATTTACTTCTTTTCTCTAATTCTTTGAGTGGTGGCATACCCCAACGTTTTGGGCTTTACAGTCGACTTTGGGTGGTTGATTTTTCCGAAAATTACCTCACTGGAAGAATTCCTCCTTACCTTTGTCGGCGTTCTAACTTGATATTGCTGAATCTTGAGTCTAATAAATTGTATGGAGACATCCCACCTGGCGTCATTAATTGCACATCTTTGCAACAACTTCGTCTCAGTGGTAACAGACTGGCTGGGAGCTTTCCTTCTGATTTATGCAAATTGCCGAATCTCGCCGCTATTGAATTGGGTCAGAACAGTTTCAGTGGTCCAATTCCTCACGAGGTTGGGGAGTGCCCAAAGTTGCAAAGGCTTGATCTCTCAGGAAATCAATTCACATCTGAGTTGCCGAAGGAGATAGGAAATCTATCCCAGCTTGTGTCTTTTAATGTTTCATCAAACTCGTTCACTGGGCGGATCCCACTGGAAATTTTTCACTGCAAGGCTCTGCAAAGGCTTGATCTTAGCCGGAACAGCTTCATCGATGCTATACCAAATGAGCTAGGGACACTTTCGCTTCTTGAACTTCTTATTGTTTCAGAAAATATGTTTTCAGGAAATATTCCAGCAGCACTGGGCAATCTTTCACATTTGACTGAGTTGCAGATGGGTGGAAATTCATTATCCGGTGAGATACCAAAGGAGTTGGGTGATCTTGCAGGCCTGCAAATTGCAATGAATCTTAGTTGTAATAACTTAACTGGGAGAATACCACCTGAGCTTGGAAACCTTATCTTATTAGAATATCTCTTGCTCAACAACAATCATTTGAGCGGTGAAATTCCTAGCACATTTGTAAATCTGTCTAGCTTATTGGGCTGCAACTTCTCATATAACGACTTAAATGGGCCATTGCCTTCTGTACAGTTGTTTCAGACAATGAGTATCAGTAGCTTCATCGGAAACAAAGGGCTGTGTGGTGGGCTGCTTGGTAATTGTAGCGGGTCTACACCTTTCGACACAATTCCTCCTCCTGTGAGAAGTTCAGATGCACCTCAAAGAAAGGTCATCTCTGTGGTTGCAGCTGTCATTGGTGGAGTGTCTCTTGTTCTAATTGTAGTTATTCTGTATCTTATGAAGCGTCACCCAGTCGAGATGGATGCATCGTTGCAAGAAGATAATGGCATGTCATCCCCAGATTCCGATATTTATTTTCGTCCAAAAGAGGGGTTCACTGTTCAGGACCTCGTTGAGGCCACAAACAATTTTCATGATAATTATGTTATTGGAAGGGGAGGAGTTGGGACAGTCTATAAAGCAGTTTTGCCATCCACTCAAATAATTGCAGTTAAGAAACTGGCATCTAATAGAGAGGGTAATAACATAGAGAAAAGCTTTCGAGCTGAGATTTTAACTCTTGGGAACATTAGGCATCGTAACATTGTAAAGTTATTTGGCTTTTGCTATCACCAAGGCTCCAATCTCCTTCTTTATGAGTACATGGCAAGGGGTAGCTTGGGTGAATTGCTTTATGGGGCATCTTGTGACCTAGACTGGCCAACACGGTTCTCGATTGCTCTTGGAGCTGCTGAAGGCCTAGCTTATTTACATCACGACTGCAGACCAAAGATCATCCATCGTGATATAAAGCCTAATAATATTCTTCTTGATGAGAAGTTTGAAGCTCATGTTGGTGATTTTGGTTTGGCGAAAGTGATTGACATGCCTCAGTCGAAGTCAATGTCTGCAGTTGCTGGATCATATGGTTACATAGCCCCTGGTGAGTATCTCTTGTCCCTCTGCATTATATCTACGACTTTTATATCCATGTTTATCATAGTAGTCTATTGCTTACTGGTTCTCCTTGAAAAATTGAATTGCTATGACCATACAAAGTATTTTGTCCATAAGTAGCGCATAAACTAGCCTTTACGTGATAACTATTATCACTTAAATTAAAGGGGATACCATTTAATGCTCCTCACCCAACCTCGAAGATGAATGGAAAAAAGTTAAGGGCTGTCAACTTAGTAATTAGTCAAGTTTCTCTTATCATGTTAATCTACACCAAATACTAAATAGGGACTGTCATGTACTTCGGGTTTTGCTGTTTAGATTTGTCATGTTATAAAATTTTGTTGGTTATTCTCCAAGTTTTTTACATTGTTGGTACAGTCTTCAAATTACATTACTAATCAGAAAATCGTATGAATTGGAAAGGTAGGCATTTAAATTCTTGTAAATGATAAATCATTTTTAGAAGGGTGAACAGAATTACATCTTGGTATGCCCATTTCCAGTTGACAATGTAGTTGGTTTAAGTGCACAAGGATGAGATATGAGATCTGAAATTTTCAATCTTTTGTGGATTAAATTACACAAATAAAATCTTGAGATATTGCAGTTCTTGTAAAACTACAATGCAGTATATACACTCTACAGTAAGATAATCTTCAATAGTAACAGAATAAAATCTATATTTATCATTAAACTTCATCAAAATATATATACAATCTAAAACTGAATATTGCAAAATGTTATTAGCGATTTTTTAATTTGCCTGTTTGTCCCGGTTCAACATTTCATCTTTGTTGATCTTAGAAAAGTAACTAGACTTCCTCCATGTTATTAGGAATACATCTTATTAGCTTTTTTTTTATTTTTTTTCGATGCAGAATATGCGTACACCATGAAGGTTACAGAAAAATGTGACATTTACAGCTACGGTGTGGTCCTCTTGGAGTTGCTAACTGGAAAAATGCCAGTGCAGCCTCTAGAACAAGGAGGTGATCTTGTCACATGGGTGAGGAATTATATTCGGAAGAATTCTTTGTCAACTGGGATACTTGATAGCCGTTTGAATCTGAAAGATGAAAGTACTATTAATCACATGATTAATGTATTAAAAATTGCTTTGTTGTGCACGAGCATGTCGCCCTTCGATAGACCATCAATGAGGCAGGTTGTTATAATGCTGATGGAATCAAACGACAGAGAAGGAAATGTTATTTCACCTCCAGATAACAATCTTTCTCCGAGACACGATGCCTTGTGAATGTACGTATTGCTTTTCTTCTGCTTTAACTGTAATGAATCTTTCGGGGTAGATTCTTCCCTTTATTACTTACCAAGTTAAATCATAGAAATTTGTGTACATTTATTGAAATAAATTATTGTTATTCATAATCCTTAAAATGTATTTGAGGCAGTGGCATAGGGAGGTGGCCACCACTGAAATCTTAATTTTTCTTCTTTATATAAAATTTTTATTTTAAATATTAATATATTTTTTTGTTTGATAGATTTTCCTATAGTTAAATTAGGCCTTCATTCATTTAGAGTCCTGGTTCGCCACTAGTTTGAGGTACTTTACTTAAATCATACAAGTATTTCTAAATCTTTAGATGCACCACTTTGATCACATGGTGGAAAACACTATATCTCCTATATATATATATATATATATATATTTCTTTTTTGTTATTTTTTTTTCGTAGTCTGCAATGCCTATTACCTTTAATCTAAGCTTATCCACATTATACTTAAAGTCTGTATAATGCATTTTATCCCATCTTTTCAAGTTGATGTCAGCCCTTCATTAGGTTGTCGCACAATTCCTTGCACGTTCGGTTAGGGCGAGGTTGTCACATACTAATGCAAGGCTAGTTTTTTTTCCTCTTTTTTTTTTTTTTTTTCAGTCCTGGGAAATTATAAAATTGCCTAAACAACTTCAATGACTCTGTGTGTGTTTGTCACTTATACTGTCTTATTTTACATCTTACTTTACTTATTTTCGAGTGGGGGTCGAAGAAATTAGATATCAGGGAAAATTACAGTTCTACTTTTAAGAATCTGGAATTTAATTGTGCATGCAATTGAATCGCACACATCTATTGCTATTGATTCACTATGATAATTATATCTGGAAATGGTTTTGATTCAACATTTCAGCATGATCTAAGAGTTTCACCGCTTTCATTTTATTGTCATTTTTCGTGTTGAGAAATCTGAAAGTTGTTCGTGTTATATGGTGGTGTATGAGTAGCTATAGGCACAGTGCCAAATTCCTAGCTGCTTCAAGACTTTTTACAAATGCAGTAATATTTGCTCATGAATTCCAGAATTCTGATAATCATACCATAACAGTGATTGACATGACGTTGTTTTCCTTATCTGAACATCTTTGTCGAAAACCCTGTGGCTGAAATGGAAAATAGATCTCGACCCCATTATAACGTTTTATATTTGTTCCCGTAACTATTTTTAGTTGTTTGTAAAGCACATATTTTCTTCAAGAAGATTTCATTATTGAGATTTGAGCATACGAGATTTTCGTACTTTTACATGAAAATAAGATAAAAACATGAATAGAAATCTGAAACATGAGTTTGAATCTGAAATAATTGAAAAATACTTATAAATACTGGTTGATATCCATTATTCATGAATGATAATATCTGGTGTCTACATCTATGTGTGTAAAACTGTTAGGAATTTGGGAGTTCAACAGCAAAGTCACAGCAGAAGCAACATTTATAAGTTCACAATATAAGCATAAAGAAATTATAGAACTACAACTTTATTGAAAGGACCAGAAAGCTTCTTCCATTTTATGGCAGAATCACCAGGCTCAGGAATAACCCTATCCACGCAACGCAAATCGCCATCCAGATAGAGGTGTCATTAGAGAAACCATGGGTTCGATTTCTGGTCATTGATCGAGAATGATCTCCCAAATTTCAACAGAGTTCTAGTCACAGATTTAGGAAGGAAACCATTACCGAATCAGCCACTATTTCAGGCCTGATCATACCTAAGATTAACCCCCTAAATCCTTAAAAGTAAACCCCCAGAATCACCCAAGAGAAAGGAGAAGACAGACTTTACGCACGAAAGAGAGAGCCGGACGAACAGAGAGTAGAGACTAAAGAAAGAGAGAGCAAACCTAATGAAGATCAAGGGTCAAAACCAAGGAAATATCTCAACCAAGAATAGATCTCAACCGTCCATCTCATCCAACGATCCTAATAAAATCAAACTAGCACAATCCATGTAACAACCAAGCTACCAATAGGCGAACAATACCTAAGCAGCTGGGCCAAAATAATGCAAACAATGCAAATGACACTAATAGCACTAGTCCAAATAGAGTTAGGAGAACCACAATTCTCACAAAAACTCTTGAACGTATTTGTTATGCAGTATTCTACGTCATAAAAAGGCATAATTTACTCTGTTTTGATTTAACGTTGAATATTAATTCTAACTTTAAGCATAACCGTCATGGCTTTTACTTTTGCTTCTTATAAAAGTGTTTCATGAGAAAGTTATCTTAATTTTTGTAAATTCTAAAAGAGCTCTCTATTTTGAAGGTACTTTTAGAAAAAGTCACATTAGACTAGCTTTCTCTAAAAGCTCTTCCAATAAGAAAAAACACTTTCATAAAATTAATCAAACGAGTTCCAAAACAATTTTTCTTAAAAGATCTTTTTGACTTTTCAAAAGTCGTATCAAATGGGCTCATATTTAAGTTGTCATTTTATTTGAATATAAAATTTTGTGTTTTTGATTTTACACATCCTAAAACTGTAAACCCCAGTATAGTTCGGCTAACTCGAGGCATGATCTATCTTGAGTTTCGTTAGGCCAAATATGAGTTGTATTCTCTCGACCTGACAACTCGATCCGACTAAGAGCTCTGGGCACCAGGCCCTTATCACAGCCTATGCTAACTATAAAGGAACGAACTAAAACTTTGGATTGGTATAATTCTCAAGTTGAATTATTATCATAACATGGTGGTTGTAATTCTCAAATCTAAGCATGTACGATATTCAATGAATGGAAGCATTAGTTAAGGGAGAGGCAAAGTCTTTTTTCTTTTTTTTTTTGCAATCCCTTATTTCGAAAGATTTTCTTGGAATTCCTAGGAATTTTTAAATCAATGAATTATGCCAAAACTACTTATTTCCCTTCTCAAGGATTTGTGCCAAAACCAGTGTTCTAAATGGCACGTCGAGGCACCAGCTATAGGCACAAGGCGTGCCAAAATGTCACGCTATGACTTGGGGCGGCTAGTTAAGTGGTCACTTAAGGCATCACGCTATGGCTTGGGGCGACTAATTAAGTAGTCACTTACGGCGCACCTAGGCACGTATTATTATTTTTTCTTTTTTAATATTATTGTTTAATAATTATAAAATTTTCAACTTTTAGCCAATTGGGTAGAAAGGTCCCAAAAGTTGTTTACTTGATTATTGGCCCACTAATTTATGAAGGGCATTTTCAAGGATTTTGTTGTGAACTTTTGATATGAGACAAGAATTCATTTAATTTGGTTGTAGTGTATTTTACCTTTGATTTGGCTGTAATTGTACTATCATATAAATAATTATTTATATTTTGTTAAGTTAATTAATTATTTTTTCTATCTTTTATCAATTAGCACTATTATAATATATCTTGTTTATAGTTTGAAATATATTTATTTTGTTAAGTCCTTAAAATTGCATTTGACACTATAATTTGTATTATTAAATGATTTTTTGATTGATTAAAAAATAAAATAATATTAAAATAAGAATTTTTTAAAGCATAAACCTTGCTTAGGCTCGTTTAGCCCGAAACTAGGCCTCCACGCCTCGCCACACATTATAATTTTTAGAACACTAGCCAAAATTAATAATCAAAATTACGCTACTTGTGAACATGCACGAATTATTCATCGATTTTTTTTTTTTTTTTAAGTTTTGCAATAATAACTCAAAAAACTTCATTTGCTAGAGCAAGAGATAGGGAAAAGGTCTTATTAATAACTAAAATGCTGAATAAGCTTTTATTAGTAGTGGTCCTTGCTTTATTGCTCGTCTCTTGGCTCATTGTATTCCACGATACACATGCAACAGTAGCGCTTGACAGCAGATTCAATTTTTTCCAAAAAAAATGGGACTAAAACAAACCCTTGATATAGATCAAATATGGGCTAAATAAGTTGACAAATTCCATGCAAAGAACCCCATATAAGTCAAGGCTGTGTTTTGAGAAAGGCGGTTGCTTAGCCCCCGTTTGCTCTAGATAAAAATCAAATTTTCAGTAGATTTTGACAAAAATTAATAAAATGTATGATTGAAAAGTTATAGATCCCATGAAACGTGTCATTAAAATTAATTATTGAGTTTGGCTTTAGTTTTTTTATCAAATTTTAATCAAATTTTAAGTCACGCCAACAAGGGACTTATAATCACTCACTCAATGGACCATTTTGCAAACTGCTTACAGCCATTAGATGAGAATTGATCTATGGTGGATAGTGAGGATATTTGTACCACTCAGGCACTCACTTATGCCCTAATTGCATAGTATGTTAAGATCACTCTCACTACACTCCTCTTTGTCTTTCTAGATGCGTTCATAAGCTTTCTCTATTCTCTCTGTGAGTTTCCTTTATTCTTGGTGAGTGATTTGAGTGGAATGTATGGTTCCTTTGTGGTCCAACAATGTGGATACACCTTTGGTTATTGTTTTGCTGTTACTGTTCGTGTTATATGGTGCCTAAGTAGCTATGCACATATGCCAAATTCCTAGCTACTGCATGGCTTGTCACAAATGTAGTAATATTTGCTCATTGATTCATTTGCTGTTTTTTTTATCTCCAGAATTCTCATAATCATCACATCATAACAACCCTTTCCTTATTTTAACATCTTTGTTAAAAACACGATGCTTCCCATGATGAAATGGAAAATAGATCTCCACCTTGTGATATATCTTTGTTTCGAAGTATCAGTTCTACTAAACAAATACTGGTTGATATTTAGTATTACCGAGTTATCCTGATTAATACCCAGCACCTACATCTTTATGTTTGTATATAACTGTTCAGGACATGTTTGGTATGTAATATTCCGTACCATTGGAAGAAGATACTTTACTGTGCTTTGAGTTGACATTAACGTTTAATACTACTTTATGACATTATAATTGATCAGAAATGTTTTCCTGCTCATAATGAGAAGTCTTAACTTACTCACTTAGAGAGAATCTTGCTTACGGTTCTTACATTTGAATATAATTTTAAGTAAGATTCTCTTATCATATCAGCAAGTGTGCCCGTCTTATCCTGCCCACGGTGGGTAGAAGAACAATTTTGAATAATTGAAATGTGAAACTTATGCATTGGAGTTTTTAGTTGGATTTGATTGAATTGATTAAGAAAGAGAAAAAATAAAAATAAAAAATAAAAAAAAATCATGCAATGTGGAAAAGGAGAGACGCAGTCAAATGGAAAAGAAATATGGATTTATTGGAAAATCAGAAGAATGGTCTGATTACAATGAATAAATTTCAAGAAAGAGTTGATCAACCAATCGGGTGGGGTTTAGGATTATTTCAATTGTTAAAACTTAAAAAACACTGTTAATTAAACTAAACAAATAAACGTTTTTAAGATAGAGCCTTCACTTAAAATATATAGGTTTTAAATTAAAAATTGCAGAAAAATCTTGTAATGTTATGGTCAAAAATTGCTTCACCGAATATTCCACGTTTCTTCCCTAACAAATCCCACAAAATATAGGAGTATTATCCTCAACCCTCAAATTAGGGACCCAATGAATAATTTCAACAATTGTTTATAGTAAATTTTGCTTACTTTTTCTTTTTCCATTGACTATTCAACTATGTATAGACAACGAAATTAGAATAATGCTATTGCAGTCGCTCACTACCGAGTTGCCCTACGTGGCATATATGTGAGGGGGGGATGCAAGAGCCGACTGAAAGGGTTTTCAATTTCCACAGTGTGTGTTAATGTGAGAAATCTATAACTTTTAGATTTGTATTGGACTAAACAGCCCGTCCGGTTCAACCAAAATTGGCTAGCAATTTTTCTTTTAGGGAAAATTTCAAATCTAAGAGATTCAATTTGACCAATTTCAAAATTAAGAAACAAAGTTTATTATTTTAAAAATCAGATATTAATTAAATTTTATTTATTAAATAACTAATTTAAATATATTTTAACAATTAAATATATAAAGGTCAAAATTCTATACTTTTGGTCACAAATTATCGAATTAATTGCTCACAAATCATTTTTCGATTAAAGAATTAAAAATTTTATAGGTCACAAATTATTTCACAGTCACAAATCAAAAAATTTATTGGTTACAATTTATTTATTAGTCACACATAAAAATAAAAATTTATAAGTCACAATAAAATATATTAAGGTCATAATTCTATATAATTTGGTCTCAAATTCTTGAATTAATTGATCCAAATTATTTGTCGATTACAAACCATTAATTTTATATATCATAATTTATTTATCGATTACAAATTATCAATTTTATAAGTCACAACTCAAATTTTTAGGTCACATATTATTTATTTCACCACAAATTATTTCTCAATCATGAATCTAAAATTTTATAGGTTACAAATTATTTAACGGTCACTAATCAAGATATTTATAGGTTACAATTTATTCATCAGTCACAAATAAAAAAATTATAGGACACAATTTATTTATCGGTCATAAATCACAAATTTTATAAGTCACAACTCAATTTTTTTTAGGTCACATTGATCAAAAAAATACCAAATTCATTGGTTACATATTATTTATTGGTTACAAATAACAAATTAATTGCCCACCCACCCAACACCATCCTACCCACCACCATCGTTGCCAACATCACAACCACCACCACGTTACTACCACTGCAATTGCGACCTCATAATCTGAAATCCACAAATGAAAACTGAAATAGAACCCAAACCCAAACGGTTGACATTGCCACACCGCAACCACCACCTCACAATCAGAAACTCACAAATAGAAATCGTTAATTAAACTAAACAAATAAACGTTTTTAAGATAGAACCTTCACTTAAAATATATAGGTTTTAAATTTTCATTTGAAATTAAAAATTGCTGAAAAATCTTGTAATGTTATGGTCAAAAATTGCTTCACCGAATATTCCACTTTTCTTCCGTAATAAATACTACAAAATATACAGTTATTATCTTCAACCCTCAAATTAGGGACCCAATGAATAATGTCAACAATTGTTTATAGTAAATTTTGCTTACTCTTTCTTTTTTAATTGATTATTCAACTATGTATAGACAACGAAAATAAAATAATGATATTGCAGTCGCTGAGTTGCTCTACATGGCATATATGTAAAGATTAATGATTTGATATATGAGGCAATAAAAAACTATCATATTAATGCATCAAATCACTAACCGTCACATTATACCTCGTATGGCGACTACAGTTGTGAGCGACTACAAATAACATTACTCACGAAACTAGATTAATTAACTACTTACTTAGTGGAGTTAATGGGCCAGAAAGTGGGTAATAAAACGTATAAGTGGGTGGTTAAGTGAGTTATACAAGTGTTTCAAAGATTATTTTGCACAACAATTTATGCTTCCTTGAAAATCATGTCGGGTTGATCTTGATTTCCTGTTAATGAACAAGAAGAAAAATATGCATCTAATTTTCATTTTTATGGTTTTCGGTGAGATGGATAGTATATAATTTGAAATATTTAGTGATATATATTCTTAATGCTTCAACATAAGAAATTGTCACATCAAGTGATACAAGTATTTTCGTGATTATTTTTAACATCAGTACAACAAAATCACTCAGATTCCCATGGAGCATCCACCTTAAAACTAGAATTACGATAACTGATAGAAAATCCATATAAATCCACCTTCCAAAAGATGGTGGCGTGGCCTTTATCTCTTGCCGGATCAAAAGCATGAACAGAAGTAAACTTCATACCAAACGTCGACAAACAGTAGTATGTGTCATTTACGACAGCCTTCAACAGATAATTATCTACTGGTTTGAACGTGTAGGAGCCTCTCCCATAGCCGCCCGCCTTGCAGTTCATAATAACTGGGGAAGATCCCTTTGGGAGTGCACTGATAAATTTGATAACTGGTAGGGATCTTTTGTGTCGAGCATGTGATATGTTAAACTGCAGGGACAGGAACAAAACGAGAAAAGAAAAGCAGAATTTGGATGCCATTTTGTTTGCTTTTTTGTGTGTGTGTTTGTGCACTGTTTTTTTTTTTTTTTCCAAGGTTTCCTTCCTTTTATACTTGATAAAGAGCGGGATAAGAAATAATTAGCTTAATATAGAGAAGCGTTTTATGTGGAAAGTATGCATATTTCTTGACAAAATTGTATTCTTGTAAAGTAATTTTATCTACTAGATATCCATTATTCTTGTAAATTATTTTATTGAGAGGTGTGTGGTTGGAAATGAGTTTGAAAAATTAATGAAATTTAAACAATCATCTCCTAATTTACTCAAAATTAATGAATTTAATCGTATTCCATACATAGAACGTTATTTCTGAAAGTTGGTTAAATATTCATTTTGGCAATAAACTTTCTCAAATATTTTTCAATTGTCATTTAACTTCAAAAGTTTTTCAAGCTGGCTTTGATTTTTCTCAAAATGATACTTAGTTGCCATTGAACTTTATAGGTTTTCTGTCTTACCACTTGAAATAGTAGTGAGGTAAATTATGTGTTCTTCCTGATGAGAATGGTGTTCCGGTTGCTGCGATCAGTGTTTACTACTTACAAAATGAGGTGGGGCTTTCTCTCCCTTTGTACCTTCGACGTGAGAACTAGTATATGGTTTAAGAGTGTAGGAAGAGAATATATTGGAATTCAAATAGTTCAGATTTCAAGAAGAACCAACATTTTCTCACATTGGGGTATTTATATGCACTTTATGACATGCATCCATTCCATGACTAATTGTGTCATATATCCCACGTACGCCTTACCACTTTCCAACGTTCTAAAATTGTGACCCCCACTCGCCAAATGGTTGATTGTGTCCATGTTCGTTGTTGGGTGGTTTTCGTCTATCTCATGGTCATTTATTTGGCTAAGTATAGTGGAGATCGACGGTGTCTTAGTGATAGACGGCCTATGTGAACGTAGAGGGCTTCATGGGGGTCGACGGCCTCATAGTGGTAGACGACTCATGTGAACGTAGGGGGTCTCATGGGGGTCGACGTCCTTATAGTGATAGACAACCTAAATTGTGGTGCTCGGCAGTAGTGGTGGACGGCCTATATTGTGGTGCTCGACAGGGGAGGTGCATATTAAATAGCCGGTCATCATGAAGAAATATTAACATCATCTTATATCACCACTGAATTTATCAAAATGTTATTTCGTGTGTCACGTCATTACTCACCATTTTAGAGGTTATAGGCTCAAGACATGCCATGGCTGACGAAATGTTCACACTTGGAATGCTTTCAATGTTACCAAAATCGTAGGAGATGTGCATTTTCATAATAATGAGTGATGGAGTAACAAACCCAAAAAGATTTATTAGATAAGTAGGAGCTCAAAAAACTTTTAAGGTTCAATGAAAAGTGGAAAACATTTGAAAAAAAAAATAGAAAAAAAATAGTGTCAACTAGGATATTTAACCCATGAAATTTATATATTTTCAATTTTACAAGATAATAGTTTTCTCTTATCATTTAATTAAGAGTAATGTTATTCATCTCCAGTGGGGATGGAAACACATTTTAGGTGGCCTTAAATGATAAGTTAAATGAAATGTGAAATTAAATGACTTATTTAATTTCACATATCATTTAATGTCACATTAACATCACGTAGACTGTGTTTTTATCCCCAGTGGGGATGGATAGCATTACTCTTTAATTAAGAATTAGTCTATGTGGAAATTACACAAATCCTTACTTTAATTATTCAACATTCTAAAATCAAGTGGGAAGTTTAATCTTTTAAAAATCAGATTTTTTATTTTAATTACTATTTTTATAAAATAAATATTTTTACTAAATATATACACTCCAAACCCTAGTTAATTCCCACATCAACCCTACCTCCCTCCACCCCACCTCATTTCCCCCAAATCGCACACATTTCTCTCTCTCTCTCTCTCTCTCTCTCTGTAGTCATTGCTGTTGAGCGCCCGCCGCTGGAGACACATGTGAGAGTCGAGTAGCAGCGTCATCGCTGCTCTGTTTCCCCCTCGCAGCCTGTGTTGTAAGAGTCGACAGCGGCATTGTCGTAGTCACTGCTTTGTTTCCCCTCGTAGCCGCTGTTGTGTTTCCCCATCGCTGCTACAGTAGGTAAGATAACCCCCCGCCAGAGACTCTGAATGCAGCTATAAGGCTCCTATTGATGTGATACCGCTGTTGTGCTGCGCCCTTGTAGCTTCAATGCGAGTGCCGTTAGAGGCATCTCCCTCGTCGCTGCTACAGTTAGATAGTGGCAAACCTACTTCTTTTGATGTCCCAACTATCTAAACCAGTTTTGGGTGATTCTAGGGTGGTTTGGGGATCTGAGATGGTCGCAGATATGGTGGTATTACATGTGGTTGGTGCAGGTGGTGTTGGATATGGCAGTGGTGGTGAGGTGTTGGTCTTGGTTTTGGTGGGAGGTGGTAGTGGTGTTGATGGTTGTTTAGTGGTGGTGCTGCGATGGTAGTGTTGCAAGCTGTTATTGGTGGTGGAGGATGTTTGTGGTGCGATGTGTGGTGGATGTGTACGATGGGGTTCGTCAGCGGCCAATGGGGCTGTAATCAACTGAGGAGATGTTGCAGGTGGCTGATTGGCCAATGGCGCTTGGATCTGATTTTTGGTATTTCGCTGGTGGCAGTGATGATTCATGAGGTGGTGGTCACGGGGGTGGTCACAATTGTCGATGGTGGTCACAGGATGGTCACAATTGTCGGTGGTGGTCACAGGAGTGGTCACAAAAATCGGTGATGGTAACCTTAAAATTGTGACTAAAAATTAATCTGTGACGGGGGTGGTCATAGAAATTGGTGGTGGTCGCGGGGGTGGTCACAAAAAAAATCTAACTGTAACCTTAAAATTGTGACTTAAAATTAATATGTGATCAATAAATTTGAAAATATGTGACTGATAGATAACTGTGATCTGTAATTTTTTGATCTGTGACCAATAAAATAATATGTGACCTGATTTGTGATCTCGAAATAAACCGTAACCTACAAAATTTTTGATCTATGACCAATAAAA